GTATAATTTAAGTTATAGAATTTTATTAAGTAGAGCATTAAATTAAAATGCAATAAATAAACACTATCAACTGTTTTAATAATAAGTAGTAAGAAAATGAAGCAAACATTCTATTTCCAAGACGACGTTTGTTTGTTTGATTGAGGTTGACTGTTCTGCCCCATTGTTACATATGTATGTATCTTACTGAGTGGTTATGTGTCTTCTAGTATTGGTAGTGTTTCATATATTCTTTAAAATGAGTCATTTAGTATTCACATGCTTATTCTTTTGTGCAGTTTAGTGATACAATCACTGATTTTGCTGGTTTCATTATCTACCAGTTTTTTTCTTGATTGTGTCAAAAAAGATGCAGTCTCTAGCCTATATAAAATGCTATCTATTTTTGTTGGGCAGTGGATACATTTGTCATATCCAATTAGCTCTTGTTGGGCTGCAATTTGAAAAATTTGTAGAACTATAAATTTCCAGCCATCTGTCTGTCTTTCCTTAATCTCAAGAACAGAGATAAATAAATGAAAGACGAGACCAGATATGGAAACCTTAGTGACAGGAGGTCCCGATTAACTATATATGAACTTCCAATGCAAAATGGAAGTCACGTTATTGCAATTCAAAACTTTCCCCCTGAAAGCAGTTAATAGATGACCGGCGCAACTCCTTTGCTAATGGAAAAGTATGATGTACAGGGGCAAGACATTACAGTACTAATTTGAGGGGGATAGCATAAAGTTTAAATGAAATAAATTTTAAAAATATGATTAAAAATTACAGCCCGGCATTGTGATGATGTCACAATAAGTAACTGCTAGTTTTATAGGAATTGAATGAAGATGTGCTCTGTTGATTAATATAGAATTGTGTTGATCAATGTCATAATTGGTGGCTGCACGTATGTACATCATTCAAACACAGAAAGGCTTCTCTGTTTTTACAGATGATCCAAGATATCTATCTGTGTTATACAAAGTTTTATTTCATCATTTACCAAGCATCCAGATGTGGTGGAGTGATTTCTTTTCCATAATTTTATATGTTTTCTGTGTTTGTAAAGAATTTTCAGGGAATTTTTTTGCATCGTAGCTTTGACAATTTTGGCACATGCACTTGAAAAGATTGACCACTCCTGATCTAGGGTAGGGGGCTCAATAAATTATTACAGATAGTTTGAGGGTAGATGAACAAAATTATTCTTATTATATTTTTAAATAAAAATAATAATTAACATATCTTTAAATTGTTATCAAAGTAAAACACACAGTTTTGAATTTAGATTTATATTTAATGAAAAAATCTAATTAATTCTTATTTGCTTTTTTTCTATTTCATTCAATCTGGTTAATTTATTCTTATTTTGTATCAGTATAGGAAGGAGTTGGTGAGTTAAATCTAATTTGTAAAGGGGTCGACCAACAAAAGAGGTTGAAAACCTCTGTTATAAAATGAGATTTAAGTATGTGTAAGGCAACTTTTTCTTACGAGTGAAAATTTCTGAAAAGTGATTGCTTGCTTTCGTGCAATATGTACCACTGACATGGCCGATGCATTGCATTACTCTGCTTCCAATTATCATTCACAACATTTCCTGTCTCTATCTGACAGCATACGAAACAAAAATGTCCTACAAAAATTATTTGCAATCTGCTTTTACTATGACACAAATGATGCAAAACAGGATTGACTTCATTATCCTAAACAAAAGTTAAATTGTAGAGAAATGCAAATTTTATAGCAAAGTGTTAATTCTGTCATCCTTATGCTTGTCGGTGAAGATAAAACTAGATGGGACACTACAGCAAATGAATTAATTATATAAATTTGTGTACTCATTATGATGTAAAACATGTTTCATTGTTTATTTAATACTTTGTAATAGTTTTCAAAGTATACTTTTATTAATTACAGTATTTTGTTTGTTCGTTGATAGATCAATATTTTTATATGTGAATTCATTTAATTTTAGAGAATTTTTAATTTATTTTGATATTTCACAAACTAATAAATTATTAATTATGCACTTGTTACGTATTCTAAGTGATAATTATTTATACGATGTATTGAAATTCAATTACTTAGAAAAACTTCTTAATGCTTTCTACAATTTAATGAATTTATTTTTATACAATTTCTATATTTAGCTGAAGTTTAGTTAGTAAAACGAAAACGTTAAAAGGTATTGTAGTGTGTATAATCTATTATTAAACAAGCAATTATTTATTGTGACATTGTCACAATGCCAATGCCAGGCTGCAATTTTTAATCATATTTTAAATTAATTTAATTTAAAATATATGCTCTCCACCTCAAATTAGTAGTGGCTTGCCACTGTACATCATACTTTTCTTTTAACAATAGAGTCGTGCTGGTCATCTATTAACTGCTTTCAGGGGAAATTTTGAATTGAAATAACGTGACTTCCAGTTTGCATTGGAAGTTCATATATAGTTAATTGCATCTTCCTGCCCACACCGTATCTGGTCTTGGATTTTATCTATCTAACTGTGTTCTCAAGATTAAGGAAAGACAAACAGATGGACGACAGTAGGAATTTATAGATGTAGTTTTCCAAATTGCAGCCCAATAAATATAAACTTCAAACTACATACATACATACATACATACATATATGTTATAATTAAATTAAATGCTATAAAAGTAGTTCATTACTACCAAAATAATGAAAGATTAAATAGCTAATTGAAACTTTCAAGATGTGAATAAAAAGTATATAGAGTTAAAAAAATTAATAATTTTCATTTTACAATGGGACAAAACAGAAAAATATATAGTGATATAAACAGAAGAAAATAAAATGTCAACAAAGTAATTCGTCAGAAATATTGTTTCAATGCATGTGAAGAGAGTAGCTACGGAAGAAAGCCAAAAGGTATATGCTATAACATGTCTTTATGATGAAAAAATTATAAAAGCATGTTATAATATTGTTAAAATCATAACCTGTTGGTGTCTGGAAACAGTCTAGAAACAGCTTTTGTCAGAGGATTGTAAATCATTTAATATATTTCCATTTCTAAAATAAATTCACCATTCTTTTTAAAATTAATTAATAATATGCCACATTAACTATTCATAAAATATGTGTTTATAAAAAGACAACTGCCTCTTCAAATTTATAACAACTTTTATTTATGGTCTTTGATTGTATATCAATTATTAACATTTATCTTTAACAAATTAAATAGATTCTGTTGGAATAAATGATGTATCTTAATTATTGCTATCTATATTTTAGATTATCCTCATCATTTGTAATAACTTTTTTCATTTTATGCATTAATAGGCACTGCTTATGACTCATCTTCAGTTTACTGGAATTTTCTTCTTCCTATAATTTCATATTCTATATCCAAAAAGTCAGTCTGCAATGAAGAAAAGTATTTTATATTTCATTTTTTGCATAGTTTTTTCTTCATTATAATGTGAAATTACTAGTATTTATTTTCAGTAAAAATATATCTAAAATAAATACACAAATACTTGAAAAAGTTAATCGAGAGGTTGCGGCCGACGTTTTTATTTCAAAAACGTGTATATTGGACATTAATTGCCTCCTTCCTGTAAGCCTAGAAGTTTGACAATGGCGTTTGGAGCGTCAAGCATGATTCCACTGACATTCCAAATGCCATCGTCAAACTTCTAGGCTTATGGGAAGGTGGTGCTGAACGTCCAACGTACACGTTTTTGCAATGAATGCAACATCGGCTGCAACCTCGCTAATGTTATTTTATCAAAAATACGTACCAATGAAGTAAACTTTAAAATAAACATAAAAATAAAAATATTCTTCTGAACATTAAAAATCTTTCAAATTAAATGACAGAGTTTGTAACTGTATTTTTACTGATTTCATTGAAGTTTAAGCTTGCATTTTAACTAGTTAGTTTTTTATTTTTTTAATTTCAATAGATATAATTTAGCGTATCACATTATAAGGATTAAATTTGTTTGTTAAATTATTTTAATATTACAATGTGTTACTCCCAAATGTCCCTATTTTTAAACTGTTCTGTAAAATCCATTTGTTCATATGTGTGAATAAAATTTGTTGGAAAATGTTGGTTAATATTCCAAGTTTCATGTGCATATGCTCAAAAGATCTGCTACTGCTTGCGTGATTTAGATCATGCTACTGTTCTTAATGGGCTCCATTTCTCATTCTGCCTGAATATCTGGCATCACCTCTTTGAACTTTGTCTTTGTGGGCACATCAAGGATTGTGCAATGCTATAGAAGTTCAAGATATGAGAGCCCGAAGTATGAGAATCCTGGATGCCATTTATGGTGTGAATCTTATCAAGCTGATTTGGATATGGACCAAAATCAAGTACAAACTTGCCACATCAAGAGCATAGATGGAAACGTATCTATTTAATGTAATTAACTTTTTCAGATGCGCTTTCTATTATGATTGTCTACAACAGTGGTTCTCAATCTTTTGAAGTCAGGCAACATTATAAACTTTGACTTTTTCCCACGGAACACTTACAGTCAGCTTTAAAGCAGGGGTGGCAAAACTTTTTGAAATCAAGTGCATTCAGTATTGTATATTTGATTTTTTTGCAAAACACTTGAAGTGGCTTCACAGAGCACGTGTTCTGCAGACCACAGATTGAGAACCACGGGTCTACAACACTCTACTCATGTTTCTTTTCTCAAAATTAATCCACAAACCTAGGGATGTTCAAGGGGAAAACCTGTATTATTTATTAATTTTTTTTATTATGGAGCAATTCTTCTAAGCACTAGTTAATGTTTAGATATAATAGATGCATGTGAACATTGTAAATAATTTTTAAAACATTTTATTACATTAGACAACTGATAGGTAATTCAGGAGGTTCTTGATAAGTAAATAATGCAACATTTTTAATATTAATATCCATTATTAAGTAAAGTATTATGTAATGGATAATATATATATGTATAATTTTCATTTTTAATTACGCTTACTTAATTTCATGGTATTTTTTTTTTTACAGGTGAAATTAACCAACCTTATGCAGCACGCTTGTACTTAGGATTTGCCATCATTTCTATTGTCGGTTCTGTATATTTAGCTTATATACTAGCCTTTATTTTACATGACTTCTGTGTGGTGTGCGTCGCAACTTATGTTCTTAATGCCGCTCTTTTATTCTGTTCGCTTCATAAATTCTGGCATCTAGAAGGAAAATTTAAAGCTGAATAAATTGTTGAGTATCGACAAAATCAATTGTGAATGTTATTGTTATATTAGCAAATTTTCAACAATGTTAAGTATGAATTCCGAAATGTGCATTACATAATTAACTTTTATCCTTTGTTTGATCCACTTTATCTGTGTTTTTTTATTTTTTTTTATTTTTAATCATTCCATATCAGCGTAAGGTTTCAAAGAAAATTTAATTAAGAATAAAGAACATTGACATAGCCAAGTTAAATTGGATTTCAGTTTGTATTAATTATTATTATATGTAATTTTTTTTTTATAATTCAAAGAAAAAAAGTAACTTTCTTAATTATGTCACTTCTACTACAAATGTTTTGATCTAAATAAATTTCTTTTTTTTGCAACATTTTAAATATATTAATTCCAAATAGATAATTAGTAATTGTATGAAATAATTATGTATTAATTAAACCTGTTAAGCATAATTGTGATATGCTTTTTAAAAGAAGAAAAATTCTGCAAATATACATTCTGAAATATGAAAGTGTTGTTATTTTTTTAAAAAGAAATATATTATTGTTAGCTGATGTTTTCACGAGTGTGTGATATTTTATTTAGTAACATAACACCTGAATTTATTATGTTATATTTTGAATAATTGGAAGCATTTTGCAATGTTGTTAAAGTGGGAAATACAGCTTAAGGCACCTATTACTTATAAAGAGGACAAATTTAACATATTGTTTTAAGCCTACTATAGATAACTAGTCTGGAAATTCTTTCCTATGTAAGTTATATTTTATGAAGATTCGAGTAAGTCCTTTTTATAGATCGATTCCTGCAATGATTTGCACGAATTGCACAATGTTAAATTAATCCGGAGAGTAGTGTAGAAGAGTTTATAATCAAAAACACCAATGTTTTCATCATCACGTGTTTATAAATGAATCAAACAGATTAGCAATTATTATAAAATGAGGTTTAATGTTTAAAATTTGAAATTATGACACTCAAAGCCTCAGGAAATATGCCATTTCAGGACAGTGCCTCTATTAAATATAATTGTATACTGTATTTTCTCATTGTTTATAATATATACAGGGAATTTATATACAAGTTTTTTTTTTTTTTTAAATCGAAAAGAATTATATTTTCAGTTTATAAATAATGTGTACATTACATGCATATTTTAATTAAATAAAGATATGTGAAAGGCATATTTGTAATATTTATTAGCAAATTGACCAATCTCCATCATTATTTAAGCCTTACACTCGCATTTCTGAAAGTTCTTTTGCAACGTACAACATCCAGTCAACTTGTCAGGAACCTAATTTAACGCAATTTATTGGCAATATATATATGCAGGTGTTGAAGAGGTCAGTTTTTTTTTTCTGTTTAATAAAATTTTATTTTTCAATATATTTATTTATTTACTTTCTATCCCTATAAATAATCCATGTCTGTTTTGGAATTACGTTCCTTATTTGGCTTAGTTTGCAAACAAATTTGTTCTAGTTTTAATAAGAAAAATGAATAATTAAAGCAAAAAAAATAGAAACTGGTAGGAAAATTCTGGTGTGAGAAAGCCAAATTTTTATAAAGATTGCATTAAATAAATAAGATTAAAAAAAAAAAACAAATTAAAAACTTAAATTGCAGAATTCCTACCAGTAAATAAATTATCAGATGAACTAAAAAGCATAAGCACATTAAAGATGGGCAAGTACAAAGTTTTGCACCACCGAATTTAGCATTTAATTCGTCTGAGAAATTTTCTAAATAATTTTAAATTCAAGCTACTAGTGCTTCCTGTGTTTATATCGAAAAAATTAAACTATACGAAAAAAATTTTAAACTCGAAATGTAATCGTAACTTACCACACCCAACAGTACGGTTTCCGAACAATATATAAAGAAAAAAACAAATTATTTTAAATGCTTATAACGGGTTTTTAGTTTAAATTTTTTTTCCTGCCCTACAGGTTTTTAAAGTATGTTGAAAAATGATTTTAAAACGGGCGTTAGGAGTGTATTTTGCATTTCTTATCTCCGAGAAAATACACGGAAGAGGAAACCAAACCATACATTGGCAGAAGACAGGATATTTGAGCACCTGTTCGGAGGTCGATGACCACTTATCACATACTACATCACTAGATCACTTTCTACTAATTGATATGAACAGTTAGCTGCACATGTTCCCTATTTCCTATACGTTAAGAGTATTGACAGTGCTTGTAGTGACAAAATAAGAGAGATATTTACTTTGCGAAACAGGAGAGTTGCTTCTTATCCAGCAAAATTCCTGTAGGATGAGTAAAAGATTGATAATATGAAATACAGCGATTATGACACTTCCTCTGCTAATCTATAAATAACAAAATTGAAAGGCAGTACTAAATAAAACTGGGGATATCTAATGTATCGGTTAATCTTCATACTGGCAGACTTAATACAAATTAAAATAAAAATCTAGATGCTAATCAGAAAATCGTGCTATATACTGAGAAGACAATGAATCGGATTTTTTTTCTTCTTTAATAATAGAAAAGGAGAGTTATGCATCTGATGAATAAATAATCGTTTAAGAAATACTTTCACACTTAAACAATTAAAACGAGTTATGCATTAAGCAGCACAAACGATAGTTACTGATTGATGGGCAAACTATTGAGGTCAGTAAAGTGATCATTCCTTCATTGCCCCAACCAGGTTCATTGAACTTATGAGGTCATTCACCCGACACAGTGATGTCAAGGAAGAGAAAAAATGGCGTCCATTCCGTGCACAGGCCACAAGGTTGGAGATGGGTGTGTCCCTTCGGACAGGGCATTGACTCCACGTTATAGTTTGTTAACAAGGGGTACCTCTGACACAATGAACTACTGCTTGGTATTGGCTGCTGAGGCCAAATCGGGGGAACTGCACCAAAATTGGAAATCAAAATCTCAATGAGACAGGTGTGGTTGTTTAACTCCACCGATGACCTCAAAATCCATCCAATGAAGCATTTATAGGTTCTTCAACTTTAGGAATAGGACAAAAATGTTAAAAGCGAAACATAAGCAACTAAGAAAAAGATTTTGTAAATTAAAAAGTTTCAAAAAACAAAGCAGAAAAAAAAAATAAGAAAAAATGAGTCATAACCGAGGTTGACGCATTGGGTCTTTGGGGCAAATGTTTGATGATTATGTACAGTAGTTGGTCTGGTTACTTTCGTACCGCTCTCGATCGTGACGCAAGTTTTTATGATTTTTAGCTAGCGGACAGAGTTACCTCGTCGTGAGTCACACAAAGAAAGTTAAGTGTCATCCTTAACGAACTGTAAAGTGCATCTTTGCTAGTGCCTCGGGTCATATCGCGTTACAAAGTAATCGGTTAATTTAAATACTTAAACAGTTAATGTGTTTCTAGTTTTGGAGAACTTTTTGTATCTTAATCTGTCGACGATATTTTTACTAAACGCATAACTTCAAGTCATTAACATATTTCCTATCCACGAAGATGTTTTCCCCCTACGTTTTCTTCCGACTGTGGATTATTTCCTTGTCATTTTAACCCCCTTTTTTTTCTCTAGTTAAATATAAAATCACTTCCTCTATAAATTTCGATAAAATTCTTTTTTTAGATAAAAACATTTTTTTACTGATTTCTGCTGATTTTAAATTAATCGAAATATAAACAAAATATATTTTAATCCATGGAAGACGCAAATTCCAATTGTTTGTTACCTCCCTTAATAATTATACAAATCGTCATCCAATAAACAATCAATTGTAAACTTCACACCCACTACCTTTTCGGTAAGAGTAACACAAAAGTGTACACTGCTAAGATTAATCTACACTTCCTTATTATGTAAACAATTTTCATAATCTGTTAATGAGTCAAACACTACACTGATGCAATCCGCTAGAGTTTCAAACACTTCATAAATGAGGTTGAATAAATTCGCAAATTGAAAATATATTTGTGTTTTTCAATCAACTTTGTTTCCTATCAGGTTATTTAAACCAGAATATCCCGTGAAAATCCTGTTTACGCATGTTTGAACATCCTATTTTAAATGTGAAAAGAATCCGGAGCAAAGGAACGGATCTTGTCTTCATATCGATATTATATTTAGGAAGGAAAGAGGGCGAAGAGTTGAACAGGATGTACTACTTAGGTCAGAGCTTGACCATTTCCTAAAATGTCAGAGGCTAGTTCACCCTTATCGCATATTATAGTTCACAAACCTCGGTACACCAAAGGTGATATATACTGGAAACGGTATTTAATCATTTCGTATTGATTCATATCAGTTTACTTGTTTTAAACAACAATGATGCGGAGGTGTTAAATTTATTTATGTATGAGAATTTTCAAGGTGAATTAGTGTACACGAATTTCTGAAATGCCTTAGAGTTTGTTGACCTCTCACAGATGTTACTAGCAGGTTTTGTATACTCTATTTTTTGCACGTTTTACAACTTTGAAAATTCAGTACTTTGAAAAACTAATACATTGTTGCGAGCAGCAGTGTTCGTGTTAAAAATTTTATCATTGTTTAAGTGAATTTTCATCTGTTACAGCATGCTGTTGTAAAAAAAAATGTATTATAGTATGCTTGTTTATATCAGGTATTAATTTATTAACAAATATTGATATGGCATCTGTTAGTTTAGCTTATAAAGCTCCGTTAATAAGCTCTCAGAAAGAAAGATTTAAAAATTCTCCAACTAAATAACTTATCCCTGATAAGAAAGAGGACATTCAATAGTATACAAAATCAAAAAACGCCTGAAACCGTGTCCCAACCCTTCACTGGTGCTTTTACTTTTAAACTTTCTATTGAGTGTTTCCGGTATGCGCCATTTCCGGTTGTTTATAAATTCGTCCTTGAACTTGACCCGGCATGCTATAAATAACTCTTGCGATAGATACAGCCGGAGGGGGACGTCTACTGCACTACTAACCCAATGATTTGGCTATAACAGATGTCACTGGGTTAAATCATTGACTAGTAAGGTCGTTGTCCTTTCAAGGACACCGAGTAGTTGTTTTGTTATATAATCTACCCGGGGGTAGCCCACCTGTTTGTAATGCCCAAGGCATTGCAGAAACAAGTTTGAAATTACCATATTTAGGAAACAAATTTCGAGTTATTACTTCCAAAAACAACTAAACAATTTGTCAAAATTAAATTGGAAATTATAACATTCCCGTTTCGGTTTCGTTCGGTAACTTCTGCTTTATGCTCTTGCCTGAAGTATACGATGGTTACTTTTGGTGTATTTATATCGTCAAATTCGGTTTATTTATGCTAATTTCAATGCCATAATATGCCCAGTTTGCACGCATGCATACAGTCAAAGTCTCTATGCGTTAAATTTATAAAACATTCTTCTTAATTTGGTCACGGTTTAAGAAATTCGGCGATAAAAAAAAAAAAAAAAAACTGCATACATAACAGAAACTTCCTACGTTGAATACGAACAATATGAAAAGTGGCATGAAAAAATTGGGTAACATATAAGAGAAGATTGAATAGGTTAGGTTAAAAACGTGTTAATTGACGTCAATGTGACGTTTCGTGACGTAGAAGGACGTGACATGACACTAAACGGGGAACTACCAACGGTGAATGACCTTTGATTATAAAAAAAAATAATAAATAAAGAAAAAAAATGGAAATTCATAAAAGAACCAACTGTTAAATTATTAATGTAATGCTTTCTCTTTAAATACCGGAACGATGATGATTTTCTACATTAACAAATTTAAAAGTAACTGTTTACAGTATATTTATTTATTATTTCTTTCTATAGATATAATAATGCATGCGAACAGTGCATATATATCAGGAAAAGGTTATATTCTATAGGGATTTAATTTCCATTAAAGCATTTCCTCACAATATAAACTATTATCAATATTTAAATGGCGACTAAAATATATGTTATAACAATTGAAAATTGTTTATTTGCTAATTTAATGTTATTAATCGCTTTAATTCTGTATTTTATATAGCACAATTATTCCGAAATTCCTTGTGTAATTCATTTTATTTATGATTCAATGCCTATTTTTTTTTACCTGCCCTATCCACAAATAAAAGTTGATATTCCTTCCCTCTAGAGAATTGCTCGGTATAATATATCCTGAAATGAAATTTAAATAAATTATATAACAAATCACATCGAATATTATAATTTTCATATGAAATTAACGTAACTATCTCGTAAGAATCCAGTAAACATGCTTGATTTCTATATAAAAAGAAATAAATTATATTTTCTCTGTTGTTATATTCGTGTACAGAACGTAATGCAAAATCACCTGTGCAATAATATTGCTGGTTTTAGAAGCAACCTAACGTAATATAAACTAAAATGTTTTCGAACAGGCAAACAGACGATCGTTTAAATGGCAAGAAGCAAGAATTATTCCTGTAATTGTGATAATAATTGACATTTTAATGAATTTTATAAATTAAATTCATACAGAAATTGTAAATTAAGCAACGTAGAGAATTTGGGAAAATTCTATCTTGCAGTTACATTTATTTATTACTCAAAATTTATTAGTGATTGCATCAGCTGGTAGCCTACATCCCACAAAGAAGTTCGAAATGTCAATATAAATTCATATATTCCTTCGAAGTTTATCATTATATACGTAAAATCTCACGTGTACAACGATAAAATTGTGTAATTTTTTCGTTAATAAGGCAAATAAGTCGGGTATTTTTGTGTAGAATGTTTAACAGGCTTTAAAAAACACTTCCAAATGACTCATAAGGCATTTAATAAGTGTATATTGTAAAATATCATTAAAATTCTCATGTAACAATAGAGAATATCTATTCTTAGGGCAATTATTACAAAATTACAGGGGATAATACATTGTAATTTTTATCTCGGAAGCGAAACTAGTCTTAATGATCAAAGTATATAACCTAAGTGGGTTCTTTGGGCCAAGTTCACCTTAGGCAAGATTATTAATATCTAATTTATCGTTGCAAACCCCAAATCGCTGACCTACCCTGGAAATATTTAATACAGCAGTTTTCCGGATTAAATTTTTATAGAATTCACTCAATTTTCTCGCTGTCGTTTAGAAGGATTTTTTAAAGAATAGAAACTCACGTAAAGACACGCCGGTTACAAAAATAATTCAAAATATTTATGTACTATTTTTTTATGAAGTACTTTGTCATTGAGTTTAGAGAGAAGAAGAAAAAAAACTTAAAATCCCAATAAAAAATTGGAAATTTTCGGTTCCGCCATATTTCGTTGTACTTCCGTAAACTTAACCCTGTCATTATATAGTGGTCCAATGCCCTGGAGCATCACAACAGCGGGCTACTGCCGGATTTCTGAATCAGGTTACAACACAAAATACCGTTTCTTACCATGCGTGAGGTGCTAAGGGGGGGATAAAAGTCAGAGAACGGCGCCGCTGTGTCCATCCACATCTTTTTTTTCCCTGTATGTCGAGTATTTTTTTTTTTCACTTCTTCCTTCTCTACCCTAGCTTCTCCCTCCTCCGTGTCGTTCATCTTATAGCATTGACATTAGTAATGTTAGTGTTTTTGTATATTATTTATATTCCGAATCATATTTTTGCTACAGTTGTTAGCTAATTTATGATCCAACATCAATTCCAACACGAAACTTTCTTTCATTATGAAATTCGTAACTATAAAATATATTAGACATAGTTCTATCAGTCGCCAAGATGTTGGTATTTATAGGAATAGTGACTCTACATAGATTAAAGAACTTTGTACAGCCTATCTGCCAGTGTCTGATGTAAAATATTTAATCTTGAGAATTAAATTACTAAAATTTCTAGTAAACAATATTTTCAGGATAAACTCTCTTGTACATATGCATAATAGCGAACGAATCTTTCAAAAGTTGCCAATTAATGTTCTTATTTCTCTTATTAAAGGATTGAATCTAGTAAAGATTCTAATCTCTTGACAGTATTTTTCAGTTTCAAGTAAGTCGTGCCCATAATTTCATAAAAAGTTACATAAGCATTTGATCCTGTGCATTCTTTCCTTCTCTTTTCAGCGATAAGTTTCTAAATTAGCATAAAATAGAAAAAAAAAAGGGATAAAAATTGGAAGTTAGAAATTGAAATTGAAAATTGCTTAAGTAGACTTTAGATGGTTTAGAAAATACACGCTTCGTGCAAATATATACGGTATATTTAATTATGCAGTAGTCTTTCTACATAACTATGCATTCAAATAGGCTAATTTTTATGTTGAGTAAAATCATTGATTCTTCCATCTCCACATTACATAATTATGTTTTCTACTATATTATGGTCAGTCGTCGTTCGTGTTTAAGTTGATTTTCAAGATATTTCCTTCATCAAGAACGATTCTACGTATCCTAACTAACCGTACTAATTAATCAGTATTTAGGTAACAGATAATTAGTACCAGCTGGCACGCGGCGAAACTAGATACCTCTGACCGAAAGAAACTGGAGCTTTTTGAGGACAAATTATATAGACTTTTAATTATATCACCCGATCACCTATTTTAAATCGATATATCCTTAACGTTATCGAAAAACTATTGTAGGTTTTTAAAATTATTATTATCTTTAAAGCAGTCTTACAATGGGGATGAGATAATTAAGAACATCCCGGCTATTTAGGCAATCTGATCATCTATCTTTGTTTAAACCAGCAAAAATTGCCTTAGAGAACCGTATTAAAGAAACTAGACTTCAAGGTCTGTGACCGCCTATTTGAATTTTGTTTATCATCCGAGTAGTTTCTAATTCGGCAAATGAACAAGATGTTAATTGTGTTATTCGACCTATTTTACGTTCTGGATGATACATGACCATTTATAGAATAGTCTGCCTCATAATAAAATTCTCAAACCTGTACCGCGAGTAAATTATTGTCAGGGGGAGAGAAAGAGAGAGAGAGAGAGACAAAAAAAAATCCCAAAAAGTCAATGAGATCCTCAAAATAAATGATGTCATTTGGAATAGTAGGCCTAACCTTGGCATAGTCTTACGCTGATGCTTATCTAAATTAGCTCATAAAAATCAGAAGAAAATAACTGTGCCAATAATATACAATAAACAGATTGCAATTGTGCAAAACATTGTTTGATCATGCATCGTAAAAATAAATCGTTCAAGGTTTTTTTTTTTCTAGAATAAATGTATAAATGGCACCAGCGGAGTGTGCTTTTAGAACTTTTTTCTAAAGTCCACGATATTCTTTTAAAATGTGGGAATAATATTAAAAAAACAATCAAGGATGCTTGATAAACAAAACAAAGACAAGAAAATTGATTTGAAGAAAGAGTAATGACATTCACAATAGAAATTATTACAAAATCTGGGTTCCTTGGTGAACTTATTCAAAATTGCAAAATCGTTCTTACCAAACTGAATCGTTACAAAATTCGGAGGATAAACGGAACGGAAATAAAATTACAGAGATATAATTCTCGAATTATTCGTAAGTCATTGTTTTCATAACTGGCAGGCTACTTCGGAAGGCGAATTTGCCGTTATCAGAGTTAATTTTCCTGATTTCGTACTAACAAATAGAAATTTCTACACTAAGAATTCCCTTACTATTACTTAATTCGAATGGGATGTGTGATGTAACATTTATTATGCTCGAGATAGGATTTATATTTGCATTGATTAACGCTGATGTAATCGCCGGACGTATTCAATTTATAAGGAATTTTGTTTTTAAAACGGCGAAGAAGGAGGATATTTTTTTTGTTTCTTTAGAAATATTTTTATCCAAGTGAATCTGATAGCTGAGATTTCTATGGGAAAAAAAGAGAGAGAACTTTTGTAAAATGGATCAAAACACAATGTGAATTTCAAATGATCAAATGCGTTTACATTCCCTTTCAGGAAAACTGTTCTTGTTCGGCTCCTACCGAGGGTGCAAAATCGTACATAAAGTGCATCTACGATAAGAAAAAAAAGAAATACAAATTTTATGAGTGGTCCGGGTCACGATTGTTGTGTTTATATGACTATGGACAATCAATCAAACATCACCTATTTTAATTTTAGAAATATTACATTTCTACTCAACAACCTTAACAATTCACGTTAAACGAGTCATAAGCAGGTCACAAATGTAAAAAAAATCTCATATTTAAATCTTGATTTGACTTAGAAATGTTGAAATCCTTATTGAGATGAGGCAGGTCATTGACCGTTCCTAAAAGACTGGTCAATTCGATGAATGCTTCAAAAATCGATGACAAATGCAAGGCCATATGGAGATCACATGACCTGCCAAGTCTTTGGATATCGAGGCGGGGGAGATAAATGCGGAAGCCCCTTACAATAGACGGCCCTTCAGCAGCTAAACTTAAGCCTTCTTCCGTCCTGACACATTTAAGACTGTGTTGAAGCGAACCAGGTTCAATGACCCATCACTGGAAGGCTGGGAGGCCACATCTCGTTCGAGATGTATTCGTATTTAAATTTTCCAGAAAACAAGCATAGAATTAGATTTAGGAAAAATTTTGTAAAAAATTTTTTTCTCTCTCTCTCTCTGTCGTCGATGAGTTTAGTGCACTAGAAATAGCTAGTGCCATCTAAACCAGGCTATCATTCGATAAAGGTGATTGAACCTGCCCAAGACCCAAATCACGTGACCCGAGCGGCGTTAATTGAGAAAAATGACATAAATAAACAGAAAAATGATCGAAAAAGGAGACGAACGTTTGGTTCATTTACCTTTCGTGTAAAGTTTACAATTGATTTAATACATTTAATTCGAGAAGGAAGAGAAAATAACTTTTCGGAAATGTCGAAACGATGGGTTCGTGTTCGCGTAATTATTAATAAATACCTTGTTGCAATCATCGCTTCGACAATTAAAAGCAGTGAAAACTGCAAAACATACCTGAAGACGCTTCGAATTGTGTGATCTTGACATAATCGAGCCCTTCAAGGAAGCGAGCGGAAAACTGAATCGAGCCAAAATTGGAGGGGGGAGGACGGCTTATAAACCCGATCCCGATGGCAAAACCAGTAGCGCAAAAAGAAAAAAATAATAATATTTTTAATACAATTGAACGGGCGAATTAATTTTCGGCAAGTGAACGCAGAACAGGTAAAGAAGTCCTCAGAATGCATTCATTCGCAAGACTGTTATGACCTGAGAGTAGGACAAGCCTGCCGTACTACCGTCCAGCGCTACTAGCCCGAGGCTAGGGCTGTATCCAAAAGGCTTAACCTTTACGTCGCGTGGACCTATATAAAGGGAAGTATGAGTAGACAACGTCTGCTTGGTAAAAGATCTTTAAGCAATGAGTTGGCTCCTTTACAATACGGGTTTGGTTTTGTGCTACCTCAACGAATGGCTCCCGGACTTCAGTCTGGTGTTCGTTTTGGCCTGCTTAGTGGCCAGATTTTTAATCAAGCACAGCAATAGGCGACTTCCTCCCGGACCGATGAGCCTTCCCTTCATCGGTTATCTGCCATTCTTGGGACAGAGATTCCACCTGACTTTAACTCGCCTGTCCAAATATTATGGGCCCGTTTATCAAATATATTTAGGTGCCAAACGTGTAGTAATATTAAGTGATCCTAACCTGATCAGGGAGGCCTTTCGACAACCCGTATTTTCGGGTAGGCCGGACACAGAACTGACCAAACTATTACAAGGTTACGGTAAGTACTTTTTAATTATTAATAAGGCCGGAAACATTTTCGCGTTTCGCGCTCCGGTCTAACCGGAAGCTAATTTTGAAAAAGGAACGAAAAGGAAGAAAAAGACGAGCTTCCGATTATGTAATTTTTTTTTTCCTCCATGAATGTTTTCTTTCTTGCCTCGGGCCGGTTATCAGCAGTCGGCCAGGTTGACGACCGCCCCGAGTAAGAGCTTCGCTAACGAGAAACCAGTCGATCAAGGTTGCGGAAAATCTCCAGAACTTAGTACTTTAAAACGTGATCGATCTAAGGATTAACCGAGTTTACCCGTTAATACGCGCCTTAATTGCTTATTATAGTAGAAACTTATCGTTTCTCACCCATATGGCTTTAATTTGCAGGGATCATTAATTCCGATGGCGCGAGATGGAAGGAACAAAGAGCCTTTATCCACAGTGTACTTCGAGAATTTGGAGCCAAGAATATGGGTCCGAGAAAGGCCGTTCTGGAGGCAAACATTAAGGTAGGAAATATTTTTCAAAATTTCCATTGTTCGCAATAATACTTCCGATTTCGCTTATGATATAATCTATAATAAGCACAACACTGCTTAATATAGAAATAGGGTCTTACCTTTACCGTTGCTAGTTACTGTTAAGAATCTGGAACAAAGATTACCCAACAAGATAACTAAAGTACACATGCAATTTAAAAAAGAGGGAGAAAAATTAAAGCTTTTAAACCTAATGCAGTTTGGATAATTTTGTTTTACTATTTTTAAACTTATCAAAATTATTCGAGAAAGATTAAACAATGTTTGAAATTCATTTATCATTTTCACAATAGCAGAGTAAAATACCGTGGATAATAAACAAACCATTAATATGGAAGATAAATTTTTAAGACTCTTAAAGATGTAATATCAATGCTCAAATGGGAGGAAAATAACTTGTTTTTGGTAAATTAAAAAAAAAAATTTTTTTGACAGCCAAATTCCCTATAAAATATGTCAAACAATTTTTGTGTATATGAGTAAATTTATAGGATAGTCTTATAAATTTAATAAAATAAATGTTTTTGAAATATTTTCATAGACTTGTCCCTTGTTAAATTACTATACAATAAAATGCAACTTTCGTTTTACAATTTGATAATAAAGATATTTACTTACGTTGCCGTTGTATATTCGTAATTTCAGGCAGAGGTTAACAAGTTCCTAGAAGATCTCCTGGAAATAGGAGAAAAACCTTTCAGCATCCGTCCCATGATAGCAAAATCAGTCAGCAGCGTGGTGGGATCCGTGCTGATGAGTGTCACTTATTCAGAAAAAAATTCAAGTTTTATGAGACTCTTAGATTTAATCGACGAAGGATTTCGTCTATTAACTATTTCCGTACCTGTCAACTTTATTCCTGCTCTCAGATTTGTTCCTGGTTGTAATTATGGTTATCTGAAAATTAAACAGAACCGACAAGAAACAGCATCTTACTTTTTAAAAGTTGCCGAAGAGCATCTGAAGACGTTAGATCCTACTAATATTCGCGATTTCGTCGATGCTTATTTAGTACAGTTGAAGAAAACACAGAACGAGGGAAAGAACAGTTATTTTTCAGGTAAAATATTTTTAAAAAAATTACTTTTTTCCTTGAAAATTTTAACATATTTCGCTAATAGACCGTTTTTATTATCATAAACAATGTTAATTCGAATGATTAGAGTAAAAATTACATTAAAAAATGTACAATATATTGTATTATTTTATTTTAAGCACATTTTATAATTAATTTTATTATTAAGATGCGTTACTTTAATGATGGAAAAGATTCAAGATGGCTTCGAGCAGTTTTTATTATCATAAACAATGTTAATTCGAATGATTAGAGTAAAAATTACATTAAAAAATGTACAATATATTGTATTATTTTATTTTAAGCACATTCTATAATGAATTTTATTATTAAGATGCGTTACTTTAATGATGGAAAAGATTCAAGATGGCTTCGAGCAAAATGCAGGGGGCAAAACACTAGATACTATTTCAACATACGAATATTTACACTACTTTTCATGTCTTAGCATAAACAAATTTGAAACATTCATCATTAATCATCGATAAATTTTAATTTTGACTGTCAAATAGTGCAACAATTGTTTTTGAGAAATTTCACTGCTTAATAATTAACACATAGATCAATGTAATTTGCAATTGGCTAAGAAACTTTTATAAAAATAAATTAAACGAATAACTAAGCTGATGTTTTAGTTATTTATCAAACCGAAGGTATATAACAATTAAAAAAAAAAAAAGGTTTTATTTAAGAGGCTAGCTAATTAATAAATGATAATTAAATACAAAGCATCAAAAATCTCATTAACTGTTTATTATATAATCACGAAAGACGAAATATATATTTTTCTTTAATCGAAATGCAGTTATTAATTTTATTTACTTTTACCTTCTGAATCTATAAAAGAAAATTCGTGTTTATAAAATTACGTAAAAGAAATCAAATAACAAATCGACTGATTGCATTCACGTCATAAAAATCGAGCTACACTTAAAAAAAAAGAGGCTAAACGGAAATTTCATCATAAATTACATAAAAATATTATCTGATATGCAAACCCTACTCTTTATTACCCGAAAACGGGACAACAAACAATTACATGACTTTTCATTATACTGAACAGGCTTCATTTAGAGTTAGAAGCATAAAAAGGAAGGAGAATTGAATTTCGTAATGTGTTTCACTCCAATTTTGCATAATTGCAATATATTATGTGTATAATTAAATTGTTTACAGTCGCTATTAAATTTGCATATTCTTGAAATATTTATAAGTAAAACAATTGAAGTAGTTATTTAATTTTACTTCGCTTATTTTTGACCCGTCTCGGAGAAAACTTAGGAGTTTGCAATATTTCCTATTCCTATAGTGTTATTTTCATTGAAACGTAAATTGCCTTTTATCAATAAAGAAACGTACAGTATTTCATTTGTTAAAAAAGGGGGGGCTTTGGTTAGATAGAATAAGGCACGCAACACGTGGATGAACTGTCAATGAAAGACTTCCTATGAAAAACTGGCTCCTCTTTAGATATTAGACATGTGATTATGTGAAACTGGCTCCTCTTTAGACACGTGATTATATGAATCTTGTCCATCTTCAGGCGTTAGACACGTGATTTAAGAGAAATTGGCCCGTATGTAGGTGTTAGATAGGCGAAGAAAACCCGAAAAAAAATCCCACGTGGTCCAGTCGTTGGTCACGTGAACACCAAACCACCAATTCCATCCGTTCGCCTATTGGCGGGCCCTAATGAGCATAAAGGGCCCACTTTATTTCCTTGCCCCGTACAAACTATTGTTTATACGTTTATTGTTTATATTATACTTTCAAATTATTATCAATATTAAAATGGAAATAAATATTTATTCATTTTCATTTTAATGATGACAAAATTTAGAAAAGGAAGGAAAAAAAATAAATTCAATTTTTTCTTCCTTTCCTAACAGTAATTAAGTGATAAAAATTCATTAAATATTACTTTTAATTTTAAATTTAGAAGCAGACGATTTAGGCTTAACCACAAATGTCTTACCTGATCGATTTTCTGCGTAAAATCTGAGATTTTTTACGCATTTCATAAGAAATATTAAAGCAAACTCACTGAAAATTCAATTTATTACGTATTTATTTGAAAAATTTCGACTTTTTCGGCATTTTCTTGATATTTAAATCAGTGAGTGAGAAGTCGTCTGCTCTAAACAAAATCCGTGACGTCACGCATACTCCGCACTCAAAAATAACGAAATGTCATTGGGTATTATGTAATTTTATCGTTAAAATACTTTTGAAATAATAAGAAATTGCACTGAAATTTATCTTTTTATTTTAAATCGGTAAATAAAATAAATAATACTTTAATTTTTGATTTTATATCTTACTCGGGCGAACGAAAAGTCGTCTGCTCTTATAAAAATTCCTGACGTCATGTACAGTAAACATCAAAACTAACGAAATTAATTAATTTATATTTTATATTTTTAATTAACGAATTAAACAAATAATTTTGTCAATTTGTATTTGTAGATGAACAATTAGTTCAAGTCATGGGTGATATATTTAGCGCGGGATTAGAAACTGTGACGTCACTTCTAGACTGGGCAGTTCTCTTTATGGTTTGCTATCCTAACGTGCAGGCACGTGCGCAGAAAGAATTGGATGATGTGATTGGACGAGAGAGATTACCGTCATTGGACGATCTTTCCAAATTACCATATATGGAAGCGACCATTCTAGAAGTCTTAAGAAGAGCTAACGTCCTAGCATTAGGAAATGCACACGCAACTTTAGAGTGAGTTGAATTTATATTATTACTTAACTAGCTTTGCTTCGTATTAGTTACTAATTAATTATGTTTTTAGGGATACAATTCTGGCCGGCTACGTCATACCAAAAGACACTCATGTCGTTCCTAACCTGTGGGCAATTCATATGGACCCACACTTGTGGATCGATCCGGAAAAGTTCGATCCCGAAAGATTTTTAAAAAATGGAGAAGTACAAAAACCCGATTTTTTCATGCCCTTTTCAGTTGGTAAGATCTTATTTTATTTTTCAAAACATTATCATATTAAATAAAATATATTATTATTAATTTAATCAAGAGATGGCGCCTAACGCCTCCCACTAGTGACAAATTGCTTTATATTAATCAATTAATTAGCCAAATTCTAGCCCGATCATTTAAGCGATCGTTGGTTGTGTCTATATTATAAATATGGACAAATTTATTTAAAAATCTTTCAAGAATTGGCTGGCGTTTTAATGCACAAATATAAAATACTCAATGTAATTTGCATTTAGTTAATTGTATTTAAATACAGTAATCATAAATGGTATTCACACCATAATCACATGCACGAATCATATGATTCTGGTTACTTCTTTAAAAAAAATGGCAATTTTCTCAATGGTTTTCAATAAAATTTAGTGAATTTACAAGAATGTTTGTAAACTAGTGATATATAAACACACATGTATATATTCTAGAAAAGATAATTATCTAAAATGTGTCATAACTGGGAAAATGTGTGTTTATATGATTAAAATAACCCTTGTATTATGCGTAAAATTGAATTTATAATCAAATATAATGAAAATTCTAAAAATTTTTGGGTCTAAAATTCATTATACAAGGATTGCCTGTAAAGCTGCATTTCCTACATGACAACAATACATAACAGAGAAACCAACCTTGTTTAGCATCACCAACTTTTTCTACACTGGAGGTACTAAGAGGGCAGAAACCAGACCACATGTATTGTTTTTCTTATGGTAATAACCAAATAGCAAGTGGGAGATGCTTGTTCCACATGCTTTGTGGTAGGTAGGGCCATGCCACGAGGCGTATGGCATGAGCAGACTGATTTGAGAGATGAGATTTCTATGTCATGGGATATACCCCCATAATGGTATTCTCATCATGGGTCTCCATCTTCTTTTTCAAGCTCATTGTGGATCCACAATTGGGACAAGGTAACTAATTACAAGGGACCCAACATATCCAAATTAAACCATTTATGAGAATTTCAGGATCCAACCCAGGTTTAATTCTGGATTCTATGGAGTGGCAGGTCAATCAATATCTTTGTCTCTTTTGACCATCTCAATTCAAAATGCTATCCGGACATAACACTGCTTGACTTTGATTGACCAAGACCTTTTCGAGAGGGAAAGCTGGAGGCTTTTCCAGCCCAGGAGAAAACTTGGAGGCCTATAACTGTTACTACCCCTATAAATTAATGTTACTAACAAAAAAGTAAAATCCTTAAGAGTCTATTCTATTAATACTATAAGAAACCACACAAACCATACTAATATAGGAATGTTGCAGCCACGTTTATGGGCTGAAAACCCCCTAATTATGGTCAAAATCCTCATATATTAGTGTTACTGTGGGAAAGCATGGATGGTGTGATTTGTACATAAGTTCCTGCTACATATTTGAAGAGCTCTATTAATAAAGAAGGATTCTATGTATTTCATTTGTTCAAAAAGAAATGGAAAAAAAAAGGACTCTTTAAGGAACGGAAGGGGCCCATTCTACCTGCCAGGGCCTCATCCAAATGCTCAACAGCCTTGATGATGATGACTGAATGAAAAATGATTATTTTTAGTATAGTTACTGTCAACTTTATACTTGATACACACCTTGATTCTATCATCAAACTCGTGAATGGATCTTCCCGACAAAAATTAGAGAAGTCGTCACAATCTGCAAATCAATAAATTCATAATTTTGCATTGCAAATAACATTAAAATTATTGTTAAACTATGCGACTTACTTTCTCAAACTCAAACATGCGTGTACACCCTACTGCTATACACAATTATTGCTTCGAGATACACTACACTCGATTTAGTGATAATTTCAGAGGCAAGCAAACCACCGCACTAAATCGTGGTTTGATCATATACTAATATATATTTTAACAACTGAATTAAATATTTAACATTTTAAATTTGATATATTTACAGGTAGGCGTATGTGTGTGGGCGACACGTTAACTAAAATGGAAGTCTTCCTGTTCCTAGCTAGTTTAATACATCAATTTCATCTCAGAATCCCGAAAGGAGAAATCCTGCCCAGCATGGATGGCACCATTTCCATCACGTTGACTCCCAACATCTTCAAAGTAACCACAGTACTCAGAGACAAGCTATTAGTGGCTTAGTTCATATATAAAGCTGAACATTTATTAATCTAGATAGCATAAATGGGAAAAATAATTAAAAAAAAAGAAAAAAAAGAGAGAGGAAAAAAGGGAATTTTTTTTTAATTATTTAGAAATTTAAGAAAAGGAAATTATTCAAAATAGAAAAGAGGTGTATTTTATTCCGTAGTTCCGAGCAGTCAGTTTTAGTTCGCCGGATGCAGTGGTGGAGCGCGACGTTCTTTTCACCACTTAATTTATGTTTTTTTGAATGAGTATACGTCGGATTTTCACGCACGACTACAACACGGTATACCATAATTACTTGCACTAATGGAATTTTTTAAGAGAATGTAATTACATTTTGAATCCAGCAAAATGTTTGATCTCATGTACTATACTGATGCCACTGCTAAAAAAGATCAATTTTTTTATTATATATTTTTTTGAATCTACCTAAAACCATTTTATTCTGCTTTGTAAAATGTCGAAAACAAGTCCATTTAAAATCCATAAAGCAAAGAATATGATAAGAAATGAATTAACTGGATGTGCAAAGGAGATCGAATTGTCATTATAATGCATCTGCTATCATTTTTTACATTTGTAAATATGCTTGACTATTCCAACTATTCCAATATCATTTTTGTAAATACATCACAGAATGTAAATAAAAACAATTTAAAAATTATTTTTGTATTTTATTTTATTAAAACAATTACGTTGAGAATTTATACGAGTTCAAATTTTACAAACATATTCTGACTTAGTTTTGCATACTACGCGAACAGCATTTCTCTTTGTTCTTATGACAGTGTGAACATAACTTTACTGCAGATCTTAGGATGCTTGTCTTAATTCTAAGTATTTTAAAGCCTTCAACTCATAGTCAGAGAGCGAAATTACAGAAGAAATGTTTGAAAGTAAGGTAAGCATCCTTAAGACTGACATTAAAGATGTTCAATAATTGGAAGAGTGTTTAGTTCGTATCTTACTTGATAATGTAAGGAAGATTGGTTTATTATACAATTCGGTGTGGAATTTCGCAATTGCCAGTTCAACAAGATAAAGTCTAGATTAGATACTGACAGATTTAAATTAGCATGGTGTTGGCCTCCAACTACAAACTTGAATATCTCATTTGACTTTTGAGTTGTTAATAGACCTGAATTTTGTATTGCAAGTGGGTATGAGGTAATACAATTAAACAGCATTTCAGTTTAGACCAGGGCTGTGGAGTCGCGTAAAAATCTACCGACTCTGACTCCGACTTTTCCTTATCATCCAACTCCGGCTAAAACATCAAAACTCCACGACTCCAACTCTGACTCCACAGCCCTGGTTTAGACTTACTTAGCTGTTTAGCAAATAATAGTGATCTGTAATATAGTGCAATCATAAAATCCCTCTGCAGTGGATGTGGAAATGGGAGGAACTCCCAAGAATGAAGTAATGAAGTCATAGGCAGACCAAGTGTTGAGATGTCAAAGTAAGTTGACGTCACCACTTGGTTGAGCCACATGGGCATAACCCACTGTATAAGAATATAATTCTCTTTAAATTACATGTTATAATGCTGGGAATGGTGCAGCATTGTACATCAAATTAAGTCTATCGTATGTAGTGGAACCACAAATGCTGCTATATCAAGATCTGTACCTGACCTACTATATCTGACACTCTCTGCACTACAGAGGAAAAGTTGCATGCTGTTTATGTCAAAAGATTTATCTTAGTTGGCAGACATGATGCTAAAGACAGCATCCGAGTCAATCTTATCAATCTATAACAATACTTGCCTGTAAATTAGCAGAACTGTTAAAAATGCTTACATTTAGATACTGATTACGTTCGTCATACAATACAATACAATACAATAGAAAGGTTAAAGGGCCGCACTCAATGGTATAGCCCAAGAGATGAAACGGAAGGAAGACGTGAAGTTGAAGAGGTAAGAGGGAAGAGGAACGTAAAGTGAGATAGTAAAGAGGAAATGGAGATTACATAGGAACCGGGGTTCCGGGAGCACAATTAACAAGATGAAGCTCATTACGAAAAGATGGAAGTCAAGTTATGTGACAGATAAATTCACATGCAGGTGGTGTGATGGAAAAAAAAAAAAAAAAACGATAAAGTATATGCATACATATGGGAGACTGTACAACATGGGGACAGCAATAAAACCAGAAGGCTAGAGGGACAATTAGCCCAGCACATTTATGCTATGGGCAAAGTCCCTAAAGGCGCTGTGGATGGTGTTGTTATTAACAAACGTCTTGAGCTCGCAGGGCCAAAGAATCCCTTCCATGAGAACGGTATTAATGAGCCTCTTCCTTTGAGAAGTATAGTGAGGACAGTAGTAAATAATATGATATGGCTCTTCCATCTCGTTGAGAGCGCAAGTACACTGTCCATTACCCTTATGGAGAAACTGCAAGAGGTAACTTTTAAAGTTGCCGTGACCGGTCAACAGTTGAGTAAGATGGAAGGAGGGGAGCAGATGCTTGTTTTCCCTCCTGATAATAACGTCGGGAATAAACTTGTGAGTTAACCTACCCGTGGAGCTGGCATCCCACCTTGTTTGCCAATACTTCCAGCAGGCCAGACCAATCTGATTGGAGAGCCAGGTGGGGGGAACACTGCTGTAAGTGCAGTGGATGCACCTATCAGGGGCAGAGCGGGCCAGAAGATCTGCCCTCTCATTCCCGGGAATACCGGAGTGGCCCTTCACCCAAATAAATTTTAAGTCAATGTCCTTCATGAGTACAAGAAGGGTTTGGAGAGTTTCACTTACAATAGGGAGTTTTATGTTAAGGTTCTTGAGTTGAAGGAGGGCAACCCTACTATCAGTAAAAATGGTAGCTTTATTATAGTGCCTAGAGTTGGCATTATTCCTGATCCATCTTAGAGCATTCCGGATAGCCAGTGATTCAGCTTGGTTAGCCGTACAGTGGGGAGCCAGCATATACTGAGCCTGATAGACGTTTATATTATTGAAGACCACCACGATGGAGGAGCCCACCCCTCTTTCCGACTTAGAGCCATCGGTATATATACAGAGGCCAGTGCGGATGCAGGAACCGTCCATGGAGAAAGATGTTCGTCATACAAATGACCTCTTCAAAAATTTTACAAAATATGCTATAATTGAACCAGCAATTTAGAAAATAAAAGATTAAAATGCTGCAAAGTTAACATTATAACTTTACTTTAGTGCTGAAAATATATGAAAAATATCATTTAACATCAACATATCAACATAAAAAGTTAATTTAAACTGCAGAATGTATGTGAAAATTGCAGCATACATCTCAATGATTTGCCTTGGCATCATTTCAGCTATTAATTAATCTTATAATAAAAATAAATTAATTAATTTCGGACTTAAATTGCACGGAAACGAGCCGACGCTACTTCTTGTAACTACCGTTAGCATTTGTGTACATTACGGAGTTAAAATCAGATTATAAATACAAAATATAATAAATAAAATACACTTATAAGCACTTTTTTTTTTAATATATCACTTAATTTACACACAGTTTTATTTACAAGAATTCATCTTAATTAAATTCAATTGATGAAGAATAATACCTGAAATAGTAAAACATTATTTTAAAATATTTTTATTAACTTGTTAATTCTAAAGCTGGAATTATATTTTAAATACTAACATTCACTGATTAAAAACAATATTCCAAACTTCAAACCTGCTGTAGATGTTTGACGTAGCATCCACTTAACCTGACGCAGACCATTAAAAGTACAGTAGAACCCCTCTAATCTGTCACCTTTGGGACTGGGGGTATGGTCGGAACACAAAAAAGATAGGATTATCAGAAAAAAGTAAAATAAACAATCTTCCCCTTTGTCCAGTCTTTGTAGCACTGCTAATTTTTCATTTAATGAAAGAGTAATGTGTTTACGTTTCACTCCTGACATGTTGAAAACACACACAAAACTGTACATGTACACACAATGTAAAACATATACTGTAACAAACACAGAAAAACGCCATGGACAGTGAGTCACCAACGAGTCGGGACAAGTTTCTCGACTCCGACCGCGGTCAGATTAATTAATTAACCGGAGTGACGGACTAGCCGAGGGCGGACTAGAGGGGTTCTACTGTACTGAAAACGTTTGTTTTTAAACGTTTTCAGTTGAAGTTTGGAATAATAGTTTTAATCAGTGAATACTGGAAAGTGTGAATTTTAGTACAGTGGTACCTCAGGATACGAAATTAATCCGTTCCGAAACTGAGATCGTATCATGAAAATGTCGTAAGGTGGATCATATTTTCCCATACGATTACATGTAAAACCAAATAATTCGTTCCAACGCGAAAAACATACTCAAATTAAAGCCAAGTAATACATTAAAAAAAAAATAACTGTAGTAAGAAAAACAAATGAAAAATGCGAACTAATGTAATGTCGTATGGTGAGTTTTTGTTCGTATCGTGGAGCAAAAATATGTTCGAATTTCATGTCATATCCTGAAAATTTCATATGCTGGGGCGTTCGTAACCTGAGGTACCACTGTATTTATTTTCATTAATTATACTGTCAAATTATATTTCTTTTCTATATATAACTTAGTTATTTAATACTCATACTTAACTGCTACAAAGGGTTCATTGGGAAGAAAGGTAAATACTTCAGGAGGTGAATGTATGTGATTGTATGTGAGAAAAGTCTATGTGAACGTATGATGATTTTTTATTAATATTTGGGGGGGTGCTTTTGACAGTGCTGGCTGTTGACATGTTTTTTTTATGACTTACAATTCAACTGTTTGCCATTAATTGACTTTATTGAGGTTGTCTTTTTCTACTGTAACACTTTCTTTTTTAATTTTGTTCTTTTTACTTATTGTTGGAGGAGTTGAACTTAATCTGCGTCCAATGTCTCATACGTCACCATCTTCAACTTCTGCTGGTGAACGCTGTCGATCGCCAAGTGAACAAACATCGAAATTATCTCGACTGGATGATTATTTTGCATTGCAGGATATTTCTTCTCAAATGCCTCAGAACATTCTGATATCATTCTATCGAAACTGGAAGAATTGTCGTCGAAGTTTGACCGGTTGTCTAATTTACATAAGGAGTACGAAGAACATCTAACATGATTGGAAGGAGAAGTTACCAAACTTTTGACTTTTAGAACTGCATGTATAGATAATTTTACTCTTCAGAATTATTATACAGACTCTGTATAAACGATTTGAAGAAAAATAATAATATTGTTTCTGGTTTGATTGGTAACAATGAAGAATTAGTTAATAATGCTAACAGCTTTACTGAGTTGTTTAGAAGTCAGAATGAGGAGTCTATTCCTTTTATTAACAGTTATTAAATATCGAGAACACGGCTTGTATTGTTTGAGCTCTATACTTGAGAATATTTCTAAAAACTTAAAGAAAATTTAGGAGTTGCAGTTGTAGCGCATTAGAGTTTTTGATGATTTGTCGTATAGATCAAGACAGGTATAGAAAATCACTGCCTTTTTTGCTAAAGCTAAATCTCCGAATAAAAAAGCATTTTCGAGAGCCGATTGCTTGACCGTTGACAATGAAAAATTCACTTTCGATCTAGAAACAAATGAACTACAGACGATTAATACTTTTTCAGACAAATCCAGCCAAAAGAGTTAATTGGAACAAATGCTAACGAGAGGGATAAAATTTTAGTAATGACAATATTGTCTTGGAATTGTCAAGGAACCAAGTATTACTAATGTTTTGTAGAAATAAATCTATTGGATGAATACTGCAAATTAAACAAGAGCTATAAGTTGCTATTTAAGGTGAAGAAAGTTATTTTTGGCTAAAATAAACTCACAACTATTGAGGACTAAGAATACTAATGATTGTC